CGGGCTCCTCCGCTGCCAGATCATAGAACCGAGAGGTGTCGTACCTCAAATTGCAGCTGACGGTTGCCTGCCTGCCTGCAACCCATGTTTGTATTACAACGAAGCGGAATACGACCTATATTCCACGTAAGACAATCAATGCAGTCACGTTCTGAAATCTCTGGCGTGCACTGCATGAGACTGTACAACGTCTGAAGCGAGGCCCCACTCGTTTTAGAGACGGCGAATTTCTTCCTCGGCCCACCTGCGGCTGTTCTATTCATTAACCGTTCTAGTATACTCGTTAGCATCTTCTCCCACTCGTCTTTTTCACCGGGGAAATCAAAATCCGTTGCCCAATAATATCCAGGGGTTGTCTCCATCGTGTTCACGATGGTACGGTTTGAGTATCTGAACATAAAGTTTGTTTAGTAATCTAAAAAAGGATCTAAACAAGAATCATAGTCAATTGAATTTTGAGATGAAATTGTAAGACCATGATTACGAGTTCCAACAGATATCTCATAAAATATTTGACTAAAAACTAAGAGATGGTAAAGGTTTGAGTACCTGAGCAGACAGTGGTCGTACCACATGTTGGCTTCTTTCTGGTTCGGACATAGTTCCCTTATCTCTTGTCCGGCTCTAACAATACATTTGATGCAGTCAACGGGTTTGACGTCCCCTCTACACAGAATCAAAGAGTTGACTCTCTCATTATCTGTTTCTCCTACAGAAACGTTGTAAAAGCCATCTTCGTTCTGCGGAAGAAGCGACAGGGAGGAGACGAGTGACTTGAGATTGACTTCATAGGTGCTGTCGACCGTGAAGTTCCCTCTCACGTTGTCACATATGGAGTGGGTCAGCGCTCGACCTTGCTGAGATCTTACGGAGAATAGTTGCGATGATAGCAACAAAGCTGACAATATAATAAGGCATTGCCAAGTTGATATGATCATGGATAGCAAGGACGCTGAGGAACCAGAAGCTGAGGAGGAACNGNAGNTAGTANGACGNATCACTCGTTCTAGAGCTAAGNAGATGGCCAAGNAAGCTCATTCACTCATAGCAGAAGGATCACTCAGCTTACCGAAGATTCAAGTCTTTAATATCTCCACGTTGAAGACTCCACCCGGTAATGATGACTAAGTAACTTAAGGTGAGGAGTCTGTACTCTTTTT